GGACAGTGTTCTGCTCTGCTGTTGGCTGCTGTTACAGCTCAGGATGGTGTTGTGAAAAGCAGCTCACCAACCCCTTAAGGAGAAGGGTTTGGTACCTTAATCTTGCTGCTGTAGGTTTTGGCAAAATACGTGTCCGATTCTGTTTCTAATAAAAAGCTGGAAGGACAAATGGTGGTAAATCAACTGAATTGTAATAGATCCTGGGGAACAATAGTGGAGAAAGGATATTCTGGTAACATAAGAGTTGGAGACAAATAGGGAACTTTTTAGTTAGACTTGATCTCTTGACAAGACAACTGCACTTCAGAAAGAATTTGGGAGTCAGTGTGATAGCTGGGGCTGAGTGGCACTGAAATCCTCTCCGATGGTAATTTGCTTAGGATAGGTATTGTGGTTCATTATTCAAGGCAGACCCTAGGACACTAACAACTGTCAACAATAATAATTTTGTAAAGTCAAACTGACCATGTTAAAGTTGCTCTTTAAAACACTTAAAATAATCCTTAACTCATTATGCTGCAAATGATTTACGTGGCCACCTATTTTAAGTCCCAAAATGATGGAAAAATATCATTTATACTATCTTGTGAAATATAGGATGAAAGGCCCCTGGTTTACTCACTATACAGTTAATATAGAGTTAACTCTTACTAGCTATCTTGGACACATGGAATGATGTTTTAGAGAAGCAGATACTACACGAGGGGCACATCTACATGTGCAATTAATTCCAAGCAATAAACTCTGGTGCATACTGTGCCAGAGTTTATTGCTCCCGGGTGCCATGTTTGAACATGCACCTGGGACCATAGCATGTTAAGCTGGGCTGGAGCCGTCCCGGCTGGCAGAGGGCCCTGGGGGTCAGCCTGCCACCCCAGGGCTGCTCTGACCCAGCTCAGTGTGCTGTGGAAGGGCCGGCTGGGGCACAAGGTTGTCCAGTGCGGGGCTAATCGGCAGGCAGCCAGTCAATGTCTACACGTGCGTTGCTATACTAACACGTTGCAGAGTTTTGGTTTACTGCGGCCTAATAGGGCCACACGTGTAGACACAGAGACATTTACTGTGGAGCTCGTTAGGAAGCTCTGCTGTAAACATCTCGTGTAGATGCACCCAAGGCGTAGCAGAAGCTCTGTTCCTGTATTGTTCTGATTATAAATTGACCCCACATTTTCAGGTTCAGTTTTAGGGAAAATTCCATTTGGAGGGACTTGTAGTCCACAACTACAAATAAAGATCTGCTGTGACCCTTATAGAATCCCACAGGAGAATCAAATAAATAACCAAGGAAAGGACCTAATGGATTAAATGCACTAAAAATACCAAAATAAAAATAGCACTGAAAAAGTCCAGTTTGATATTGTTAGTACATGGACAAAAATGCTGCAAGTACTAAAATCGGAGTTCTCAGGGATCGCTTTGACCCTGCATATATGGTTAATGCAGCTCTTATGGTTCTTTTGGAAGAGGAAAATGTTGCTGTATTAAGTCATACTACCCAGTGAAGGGACGGGGAGGCAAGGCACTACTGGTGTCTGAGTGCTTTAACGGTTTCTTGGGTGATCTGCAAAAGAGTGTTTTAAAAAATAACATTCTACTTACAACGCTGCTTTCTGGTGTAAGGAGCCTGCAGGTGTCTGTTATTTTGCTGCTTGGTTTCATCTCTCCGCCCAGTATTGGCTCCTGCCATCTGTCCGTGCTCTCTGAGTCTGCTTTCCCATGCCTCTACTTTAGGATCCCAAGCAATTCGTCCGTGCTGGGCCTGTATGCACTGCTCTGCCCCTGACCCCCAACCAGTTCTCACACCCTTATTCTTCATTCTTTCACTTTCAGGGGGGCATTTTCTTCAGACTACACTGGGAGGACCAGCAAGCCTGAGCTAGGGGTGTTACACAGTGGCTATCATCACCAGCTCACTGATCTCCAGCTCAATTAGAGGTGTTGAAGCTGTGGGTTCTGCTAAACAAATGCCTTTGTTTGGGACGTTGACATACCCAGTGTAATGCAGCTGCACAAAAAGAATGACCCATTTACAATGTGGTGAAACCAAGATTTTGTTATATGGCCGCTCAAAGATCCAGCTCTTCAGAAAGGAACTATCTCAGCCAATTTTTAAGTTATTGCCCAGCGACCTTTTGGCTCTAGATTTCAAAATGGTTAAGTTTTGATAATGGGGAAGTATTCTCCCATGGCCACTCATTCAAAGTGAGTGCACTGCTGTTGCTTAAATATACAAAATAAACCTACTTTTAGACAGAGAATAGACCTTGAAAATGAGTCTCACGTGAAGGTATGGACAACAGGATCAATGAAAGCTGGAATAAAAGGAACCATTTGTAGAGTTTTAACAGTGTTCCTGCTGGGACACAACCACAGCAGGCTGTTAAGGATCTGATCCCAGCATTAGTGATAGTCTTATGAGTCCATACCCTAAACATTGCTCACCTTGCAACATAATGGTACTTCAGTTCTCACACAGTTTGCCAGATGCATATGTAGATTCACAAAACAAGCAATGTAAAGTATTTTCCAGAGTCTTAGCATTCTCCCAGGGCATCAGTGCTAGCACATAGGGGCTTGGGAATAGTTAGGAGTATCAAATCGTTGCCCGAGTGATGTGCGCACTCTCTGTACTGCCAGGATCAGAAGACTCTTCTGCTCTCTCATTCATGATGTGGGACCCTCGCCTGCTGTGTAGAGCGTTGGCATTCATTGAGCCCAGGCTCTGTGTCTCATAGTCACTGTTGTCATCTGCAGCTCTGCAGACTCGAGCAAGTCCTAATGCTTTCTTATTTTCCCCTCTTGCTCAAGCTTAACTATGGGACAGCTGTACGAGAAGGAGAAGGATGAGGATGGATTCTTGTACGTGGCCTACAGTGGAGAGAACACATTTGGCTTCTGAACGCTGGGGCTTGGCTGCTGCACCATTTTGCTGTGTATCTTGTAAATAGCCGATCATTTTCAGTTCTGACCCCCACAAATGCTCCTCCCATCCACCATGCATTTGTAACTGGATTTATTTCCTAATATATTGATAGGTCTTGTTTTCTTAGACTGGTAAATTATCGGATTTATTTTATTTTTTCTTTGTGCATTGTCCTCATGGCTACAAGTTCTCAGAGCCTCAGCTCTCTGGGACACATTTAATGACATTGTTTAAATATTGAAGCAAAAGTAGTTGGGGTACTAAAAACACGAAAAGGAGGAACATGCATTTACTCTGGGTTTCGTTTGAGACGTTAGTTTAACAAGTATTAAAATATTAAATTCTTAGTAATGGGAACACTGGCTTCGCTAGAGTATTCTGAGCAGTAGCAAGATGCTGATCATGTTGAACTGAGCTAATATGTTCCTTTTTCTCAATTAGGGGATAACTACAATAAAAATTCCTCCCACAAAGAGGCTGTTATGTGGCAGTGTCCTTTCTTTACTTTCATTCTAGGTCCCAGAAATCAGAAAACAAGGAGCTGCTCTCAGGGAGCAAAACCAACATATTTGGAACCACCAGTTCTAATCTGGAGAGGAAGAAGGGCCTAGCAGATGATGGGAGAACAACATCTAGGGAGCTTGGGAGATGGAAACTAGACAATAGCATTACATTTATATGGTTCAAAAGACAAGTTAGCACGTGCAGAAGCTGAGAAGGAACATGCAGCAAGTTGAGAGGGACGGATACGGTAGGTAGAAGGTAGAGTGTCAAAGGAGGAAAAAAAGGAGACAGAAGAAGTAGCCATTTCAAATCAAATACAACTCAGGCTGGCATTATAGGCCATTTTATATATATATATATATATATATATATATATATATATAAAAAAAAAAAAGCTTTTTTCCATGCTGTAGTTGCCATGAGGCCATCACATGATTGTGAAGGGAAGAAAGGGGCTCCCAAGACAAACATCTTGAATTCAGATGTGACTACCCAGTAAGAGTGGCCAGTCAGCAATGGAATTAAGAGGTACGGTAGCGCAGGCTATGCTAATTTGAAGGGAATGTTTTTTTTCTTACAAAAACCATCCACCCTACTGTTTCATGAGCATTCACTCCAAACCATGCTTGGACAAAAAGTGAAGCCACATCACAAGCTCCAAATGTAAAAGGTTCTCCGTTTTCTCTGGGAGTAAATCTCAATGCTGAGGGATAAACACCAGGACTGGCACATTACTGAAACCAAAAACCAAGCAGCATTAGTTATTCTTCCAACTTCCTCCACTACACAATTTCTATGCTTGGGGGGTAGAATGAAGAGAATGTGTGGTTCCGAGTAACGAGACAACAGCAGTACTGTTCTGTGGGGAAGGGAGTAGGGGTGCCCACTTTCTGCTGCAAAAGACAAAAAGCGCCTTAATATGAATGCATTGGGGAAAGGGAAGATCTTTGAACAGGACACCAGTAGGGACAATCAGCACTATTTCAGGCGGCTGACAAAACTCTTATTTTTCTGCTATTTTTTTTTTTAAAGCATTCCAGGTCACAAGGGTGTTTCTTACTTTCTCTACCTATGCTAAACTTAGAGGAGTTGAAGCTTCCAGGCAGTTACGCTATGTCTAAAGTTATGTTTGGCTCTGCGGGTCTCATTTATTGGTGCTGTCAGAGGCTACACAGTGTTTCTTCTGTTGGGATGAGACAGGAGCTTGTGAAATGCTGATATTAGAGCTGGTCTTAGTAACACTGCTGTGCAGCCTCCCTACATCTGTGTGTGGCTGGTTTTAAGTTTTGCATTGTTCTCATGCTGATTCAACTAAGATTCTGTCACCATTGCCATTGTGAAATCCCCTTTTCACGGATTAATGCTAACGCACGTTTGCTTTGGGCAGAAACTTAGCATAGCAAGGTCCTGCCTAAGGTGAATTTCTGGCCAGGGATTTCAAGAGCTGGCAAGAGAAAGTAGTGGTTGTCGATGTTTTTTATAATTGAAAAGCAGCTTTGTGTCTCCAAAGCTGAAAGTTTGTACTGTTTGTCTGTAGAGGAAACCAGCATCTGAGCAGTGTAGAATTAATCCTTATCTTCCACTTGTTGTTTAATTAATTTTTTTCCTCTTAAAAGTCTTCAGAAAAGCTGCATCTGTACAGCTACACAGCTACTGAGAGCTGGACTGGAGCAAGATAACGCTCCTTAAGGGCCACTGAATTCTGCGTCACAAAGGGCTATAGCATGGAGGCTGGCAGCCAAACTGCTTCCCCCTGCTCCTGGACGAAGCCATTTGCTCTTTCCGAGGGAGTGGGGAAGAGCAGCTACCTCAGGTACTGGGCTCCCGTGTGGCCCCCACTTCCCTCAGCTTCCTGTTAACCCTTTATTTACTGGGAGCAATGGTATCTGACCTCACACACGGGAAAGAACGGAAGCTGCAACCAGGAGTGCTGCCAGCATTCCCTGCAACTGTCAGGTCCCAGTCAGCTAGTGCGAGGTGAGGCTTAAGAACCAGAGCCTAACACAGGTCAATGCTGTCAAACAAGCTACTCCTTACACTTCCAGCAAAGCAGCCGTCACACCTCAATTTAACAGACTTGAAAAAAAAGAAAAGAAAAGTAGATGAGGCGATCTCCTACTTAACACGGCCTCACCACGCAGGCAGGGACTGCTTGTTAACAGTCCAATCTATGCCACAGCCCAGGTCCCAGGGACTCCCTTAGCCTTGTACTTAAATTCAGAGTATGTTATTCCTGGCCTGATACTGTACAAAGATAGCTGCAGCAGGAGACAACAAAGTCCCTGGTCTCAAGACCAGGGAAGCAGCTGCCTCTCCAATCTCATAGATGGCTGAAAGGCAGCCACCTGGGGATGGAGGAACTAATAAAAGGGAGCATGGGTTTGCAGAGTCTAATGGGAGCCTGTGTTAGTGCTGCGCTCAAGTGACTCGCCGTGCAGCTGGGGTGAGAGCACCAAACTGGTTCATAGCAAGGGCAAGTTGCACACTTGTTCCCACAGACCAAGCACACTGCACAGGTAGGGACTGCTTACATGCTTCACTTCCTCACCACTGTGCCCCAGGTGCTGCCCTCTCATTGCCACCCCCCCATACCTAGGGCTGCTTACACCCCATTCCACTCCACAGTGGCCCCCACCCGTCTCAACAAAGACTCTGCACATTATTGTCCTTTCTTCCCACCCACCCTGCAGCTTCTCAAAGTGGTTGGGAGCCCCACTGCTAAGAGCTGTTGTTACCCTGGAACAGGCCAGTAGCTGCCAGCAGCTGGTTCTTCACAAGGCCATCACTGAGCTGGTGCAGACAGCTGGGTCTGCTGACCTCTGCCGGCCTTCAGTTGCCTCCCTCCACAATGTTCCTGAAATTCCTGAATCTAGTCACTGCAAGGTGGGAAAGTAACAGTGTTGCATCCAAGCAGAAAAAGGCTGTCATGCAGAGTGTAAGGTATTACCCAGTCTTTCAAAAGCTGCTTTACCTTCTGCTTCTTCCTATGCTTTCCCTGACTTACACTAGGCTGAAATGTAACTGCCACCTTCATCCTCTTTATTCCCAGAGAGATTCATGGTCCTGGGCAAAGGCCCTGATATTGCAGAAGCAGGTACCTATGGGTCAGTACTGTTAAAGCACATGGACGCACCCCTGAACAGTCAGAATCACAGTTGAGGAAAAAGTTAAAAATACCTGCATCTTCCAACCTCTGGGCTAACAGCCAAAGCTGGGGCTGAGGGACAAACCAGCCTTACGTAACCTAGTCCAGCATCACAGCTGGAAAGGAAATGGAAACATTCCAGTCTGGTTTGCAGGTTCACTGGAGACCGTGTTTATGATTAACAAAGAGGAAACCAGGCATGTTCAGAAACTGCAGCTTCTCACAAGCCTTCAGGGAGAGGAGGCAGCTGCAGTGGGTTTGGAAATTTATTGGCAAGTTTGCTTCCATATTATGTATTTAACTGTTAGATTTACATTGGGTTTCTGCTGCTTCCCCAGTTCCAGTAACCAGATTCTCTTCCTAAGTGAGTTAATTACCTAGTTCTGTTCCCAAAACACAAGCTATATTGGCATCTGGCATGACTCCCAGCTGTTGGTTCCGATAGGTCCTGAATATCAACCCCTCTCCCCCTCCCCCCTTCTTCCATCTTTCAGAACAGAGGCATGGTAGATAGTCTATACAGTGCATAACTATGATATATGGAGAGCATGAGCTTTCGTAAACTGGAGCTTGCTTCATCTGGGAAAGGAGAAGCATGGAGCAGCTTATCAAGTACAGCAAATTATTTGAGTACAAAAGGTGGAAAGGGAGGAAGGAGAAGGGCAAAGGCTGGGAGGCGGGAAGTGCTGGGAGAGGCAAATGAGCAAAGAGTCCATAAAAACAAAGGGGTCACAAAAGCTAATCCAGGTATGGGATAAGAACCCATAGTCCCTGTTTAAATCATACTTAACACAGTCCAGTCTGTGGGTGATTGCTGGTTTTGCAATTTCTCATTCTAACTGGTTTTGAAAATCTTGCTGCCTGACAACAGCCACCCAGAGAGCCCACAGACCTTTGTTTCTCGTTACCGTTGATGTCAGAGAAGTGTTCATTCATTCTTACATGCAGAGATCTGAGGTAGACAGCAGCAGAGCACTGTAAGCAAGTGATGATACACATGGCATTGGTAGAGCAGCAAGCAAATGACTCCTGGATGCTGTACTCCTTGTTATTCAGTGCAGTGATCTGCACTGAAGTGGGGACACAACTAGGATATTGGTCCACTGCAAGGCTTGGTGAGGATGGAAGTTGGTTAGTCTGTTGTTTGAGAGAGACTGTTTGAGGTTGGGTGGCTGCCTGTGGGGCAGGACAGGTTTGCCTCTAAAGGCTGCCTTGAGGTGTTCATCCTTTTTCAGAAGCGGTCAGATGTCATTCATAATGCGTCTGAGGTGTTCAAGCTGTTGGACGTCGGTGGCAACCAGAGGGAAACTCTTGTCCTTGTCCCATGGCTAGTATTGTAAGGTCAAAGTGAGGCCAGAGTCTGGCTTTGTTGATTAGAGTGGTTACTGTTTTAGGGTTTTATTGTCATTGTAGGAATCTTGGTTCTAAATCCACAAGGTGGAAGCAAGCAGACACAGTTATAAGGTAGACTGGATCTAGCCGTGTGCTCAGAGTGAAAGCTGGTGCAGTGAAGATAGCTGTGGTGGTCAGTAGGTTTCAGATACAGCATGGTGGTAGTGTGGCCAGTGCAAGCTTTCACTAGTGTCTAGGATGTGGATGTTGGATTAGAAGAGTTGACTGCAGACAGGTAAGACTCGGGTTCTCTTTTCCTCCACCAGCTCAATCTCTTCTTACACGAGACCTCACTTCAGCCTCTGGGGGAAGCAAAAAGCTATGCTGCAGCTCCTTCCTACTGTGCTGAACAAACCATTCACTCAGCCTACTGCAGCAGTAGGTCCCTCAATAACTAACTTACCAAATGGCCACACGGGATTGCCTTTGCCCTCATTCCCATTCCTCTTCCCTGTGTTTTTGACTCCTCCTATAGTTAGGCAAAGTCTTCAAAGCAGGAACTTAGGCCACTGTTTTGAAATAGTGCCAGGTACAACGTCTAGAGCAGTAGTTCTCAACCTTTTTAGACTTGAGGCACCCGCTGGTCGAGTGAAGACAACCTTGATAGACTGGAGGCACCCCTCAAAAAACACCAGCTCTTAGTTTTCGTTCCTTTAGTGATGGCAGAAAAATGCTGGAGCACTTCTCTTGCAAAGGACTCGCAACAAAGCAGAATATTAACACTCTGGAGCTCAAGGCACCCTGGTTGAGAACCCCTGGTCTACAGGAAGGGAATACAACGTGCTGTGCTGAGGCAACTTCCACGGTCTGTACCCAATTCACTTAACTGCCTAACATTGCTGGTCCCCATTCATTGCCTATTGCTACAGCCATTATCTGCATACTTATTAAATGCATTAACTCCTGTGCACAGCATCTTTCAGCCAGAGACTGCTCTGTAACTTTATTGTTCTGTTGTTTCTTGCTTAGCAACTAGAAGTCTCCCTTGTAACTGAAGTGTGTACCACTTAACAGAGTCAGAAGAAGGGAAGGGAAAAACATCTGTCAAGGGGCTGGTCTCAGTACTCCAATAGCACCCCAACAGCTATAAACCTTGAGCATGATGGAACTCGTGCTGTAATCCCACAGTTGTAAACACTGTGCTGCACTTCATGGGCCTCAAGTGCATTATGTCTGGATGAGGCCAGAGCCCATGTTCAGTCCCAGAACAACACACTCTACAGCGGGAAAGGTCAGACACTACGCAGCTGCCAGGCCCCCAACTCCAAGTGACCCATTTCTTTTCCTTGTGCTCAGAGATGGGACACAGCTGGTGCTGCCTGCCCCAAGCTTCCAGACAGAAACAGCAGGACTAAGGCAGAAAGAAGAGGAGGTAATACAGCTAGCAGGCCCATAGCAGGAGCACTGACAGTGCCTCCCCACCCAGCTTTTTACTCACTCTTTATCCTCATGAAAACAGGCCACCCTCATACCATTCAGTGCCTTGGGGGCTGGAGGCGACCTCTTGGGACATGGCATCCAGCCCCTGCCATCACAGGTGGTCACATCATGTCATCGGGGCAGGGCTCACCAGAGGTGCTTGCAGCCACTACAGGGGACTGAACGTGGTGACTATGGAGGGTGCCTCTCCATGCTGAGGGGGGCGAGGGGCAGTGCTGAGGACAAATGGTTAGCAAAAGGCCTGGGGTCCCGCCCCACCAGGTCCCAAACCCAGTGGCTCCAGTGTCTGCTCATCTCATTGAACACTGTTTCTAACTGAAATAGGGCATCCTTTCTGGTCCCTCCCTCAGGGGTTTAGGGAAAAATCCATGTTTACATATTAATACTGCAGCTGGGGGAAGATGGCAGCAAATGGGGCTCCCCAAGAGCTGAGAGCGCCTTGACCACTGACAAAGCAACAGTAGTCAAAAGCCCCGTTTTCCAAGCACTCACCATGCTATTTCTCAGCACCTGGGTGGCTAAGTCCTATCATTCAGGGATGGGTCCTATTTGGAAGTAGATGTTCTGCTCTCGGCCGCTCTACTAAAGCCAAGGCTTTGTTCCAGTTTCACGAGAATCTTGATACCTGTTTGCAGCCCCCATCACATCTTTCCAGCGAAAGGGAGATAAGGAATGGAGCAAGCCTAAGGAGGAAACAGGCCAGCCACAGGCACGTGCTGCCAGCCCCTTTTCCGTATAGCCTGGGGCAGAGGACAGAGCAATTGGAGCTGCAGCCACATGCACAGGACTGAGAAGGAACTACGGAGAAGCATGGTGGACACCATGGGAGGCAGCAAGGGCAGGGTATCCACAGGCCCAATACCAGACAGTGGCTGCCATGAGCACCAAGTTTTAGGCCAGTTTTCTGTCCCACCTCAGGTCTCAGCTGCTCTCAAGGAGAGTCCAATTGCTCCTCACCACAGCCATGGGCAGGGACTGGATTGGAGCAGTACAGTGGCAGCCAGGACAGTTATGGAGTGTCAATATGCATCAATATTGTCCCGGCAACACAGGACTGATCATAGCCCTGTCTGTAAGGGCACCAGCTCCAATCTTCGAAGAGTGGACAGAAAACACCACCAGCAATTCAGGTCTGAGCAGCCCAGCTGCCAGCCGGGTCAGTGCTACACAGACTGCAGCAGAAGCTGCGTCGCACCCTGCCCAAAAGAAAAAGCTGACACATCCTGCTGGCTGACTCGCATCTCCTTTAATTTCAGAGCAGATAGGCCAGGGTTAATTGGGCACATTGAGCTCGGAATTGGCACATTCAAATCTATGCAGGCCTCATTTATATTGCAGTGAAGAACATCGTGTAAAAACAGCCTCACCCAAGCAAACAAGCTTCCATTTTTCCAGGCCACCCATCACCTCCTTCCCCTTCACATTCCTGAAGAGCACAGAGATTGGCTGAGGCATTCTCCTAAAAGCCAAGACTGAGCCCATGGACTGAATGGGCCTCCCAGTCTGTGTCTCAGGGCTCCAGTGCTGGGTTTCCCCACCCCCCTCTTCTCATGTGAACTGCAGGTAATCCTTTGCATTCTGGATCCAAGCCCCCAGGGCCTGGCTACGCAGCACTTGCCAGGCCTCCTGGTAATTCGCAGCCGCTTCCTTGTAGTCTTGGTAGGTCTCCAATTTCTTCATCCTGACAAAGCAACAGGAGGAGCAGGTGTCAGGTTTTCAACTTACAGGATGTTGCAATAGGCGGTGACACAGTCTCACCTTGACCAAGCCCAAGGGAGACCTCACCTGCCACAGGCTGCTCTCCACCCCAACCTAGGTTTCTGGGAAGACGGACAGGGAGCTTTGTGCCCGGAAGGAACCGGGTTTCGAGACATAAGGCCCCATCACATGATGGAAGGTCTCAGGTTGGGACATTCTAGAGAGGAGCCAGGGATTGTGCTCCTGGGCCTGGCCTTCCTCCCCTGCCTCTGCCACATCCTGCAGGAGGCCAGCGAGGCAGAGACGGCGGCAGGACTGGGGTACGAGCAGGGCTCGTTTTGCTGGAGGAAGGAGGAACCTCTGGGCTGAGGATGAGGGCACTAGTTACTTCTCCAGAGAAGAGAAGGGATATGGCAGGACAATGCACAAGGGGACTGCCCCTTTGGCTTGCTGCTCTCCCCTCTTTCCCAGCACCTCCACCTCCCAAACAAATCCTCCGCTCAGCCGAAGCTTGCTCTGCTGAGCACAGCACAGCACAGCACAGAGCAGATGTGTGTTCAGACTCAGAGGACAAGAAGTACTCAAGCATGAAACAGTCCCTCAGAGTCAGAGCCCTGGTCCTAGTAATCCATCATGACTTTGTTTACCATGCTCCTGGTGCCTGCCCTGTGGGCTCTTGCATGGACAGCATGTGACAAGAGTCACCTGGGCTGTGGCTGCAGTGTACATACAGCTCAGCGCTCTTGCATTTCACCTCTGGTCCCTTTAGCTTTTGTCATGTTACGTTAAACACAATACACATCACATGACTGCAATTACTAAGCCACCGAGGAGGCTCCAAATAGAGGTAGGCTGCAATGCTACCCCAGTTACTGGTACTAGTTCTCACCACGGCATCACAGGGGGATTCCTGATCAGGCAGAAGTGGCCAGCTGGCCCATTCATAGATGTTAGGGTCGGAAGGGACCTCAATAGATCATCGAGTCTGACCCCCTACATAGACAGGAAAGTGTGCTGGGTCTAGATGACCCCAGCTAGATGGCTATCTAACCTCCTCTGGAAGACCCCCAGGGTAGGGGAGAGCACCACCTCTCTTGGGAGCCCGTTCTAGACCCTGGCCACTCGAACTGTGAAGAAGTTCTTCCTAATGTCCAATCTAAATCTGCTCTCTGCTAGCTTGTGGCCATTATTTCTTGTAACCCCCGGGGGCGCCTTGGCGAATAAAACCTCACCAATTCCCTTCTGTGCCCCCGTGATGAACTTATAGCCAGCCACAAGGTCGCCTCTCAACCTTCTCTTGCGGAGGCTGAATAGATCCAGTTTCTCTAGTCTCTCCTCGTAGGGCTTGGTCTGCAAGCCTTTAACCACACGAGTGGCCCTACTCTGGACCCTCTCCAGGTTATCCGCATCCCTCTTGAAGTGCGGTGCCCAGAATTGCACGCAGTACTCTAACTGCGGTCTGACCAGCGCCCGATAGAGGGGAAGTATCGCCTCCTTGGATCTGTTCGTCATGCATCTGCCGATGCACGATAAAGTGCTATTAGCTTTTCTGAGGGCTTCGCCACACTGCCGACTCACGTTCATCTTGGAGTCCACTAAGACTCCAAGATCCCTTTCCACTTCCGTGCCACCCAGCAGGTCATTCCCTAGGCTGTAGGTGTGCTGGACATTTTTCCTCCCTAGGTGCAGCACTTTGCATTTCTCCTTGTTGAACTGCATTCTGTTGTTTTCTGCCCACTTGTCCAACCTGGGGGTTGGGCCACCACCATTGGGGGTGGGTGGGAGGAGGGAAAGGCAAGAGATGTCCACGGGCAGACTGCAGCATACAGCATAGCTCAAAGAAAGGTTGCAATCAGGGTGAGACCCCTGTCCAGCCCCAGCTGAGCTAAATGAGTGCAATTATACACAGACATCTTTGCTTTTGTGTCCTCTCCTGTTGCTCCCACGTGTACCTGCTGCTTGGTACAGTGCATCAGCACCCCCTTCTCCTGGAGCATAGCCACTAGGGAGCAAGAGAACATAAAACACAGGCTAATTATCCTGGTCTTCTGCCCCTGTATTTGCACCTTTGGTGTTTGAGGTGCAGCTGTCAAACATCCGTCAGCTCACAGACCCTCCCCACTCTCCTGGAACCTAAATGCATTCAGCAGGTTCAGTATTGCTTCTACAAATCTCTCATGTTAGAAGCATTTAGAATCCCAAAGCAGCAGCGACACTCCCCCATTTGGGCACAGGCCGGGGCAGCAGAGCTTTAAAGCAAAGCATTAAACATGGTTCTCCAAGAACTCAGCTGTGAGACGGGAAGCAGCTCTTTTCTAGGGGTGAAGAATCTGTTTCCCTGGGGATCTGCCATGGGCTAAGCCAGAAACTTTGACCAACCCCTGTTCCAATCAAGCAGCACGTCTACCCCAGCTGCTGTCAGCAGCATTAAGGAAACTGCTGAGAGGGAATTTTTTCCCCTTCAACTGCAGGTTAAATGAGCTTGACTTAATTCAGTCCCATCTGCATCTGACTTTGGGATGAGCCTTCAGTCCATCTTTAGGGAAGGAAGGTGATTTCCAGAACAGCTCAGACACTGTGTCCATCAGAAATACCCCAAATTACAAGTGAATGCAGCTCCACAATTCACCACATCCCTAAGTTTTGGGCTAAGCTGTGAAGTCCTCAGTATTCACAATGAAGGTTTGATAACACTTTTGCTCAAGGTGAGTCTTAGCCTGCAAAGTCTAATTCCAGCATGGCCTCTAACGTGCTGCCTGCTATGCCCATGCAAATTCCCTTAGGCTACAGGTGACCATTAGGCACTAATGCCCCAACTGTCTTGGCCCAGCGGCGGTGCTAGATGATGGCTGCATTCCACAGTGGAGGCAGGGTGTCCCTGGGCAGAGCCTGCAGTTCTGCATAGGGCTCCGATTCCTGGGACAGTGACATCAACCTTATGCTCAGAAAGGGACACGTTTCAGCCAACCGCAGGCTGGAAGCGAGCCGAGCTATTCTGCTCCTCCACACAAATGTGCAAGGAAGCATGGCCGTCACCCACAGGCAGGCACTCATTGAGTACCCACTCTCCTCAGCAGCATTTGAACTCCCCCTCCCCACACTTAGGAGTCATTATTCGGGTTCAAACTTCACTTCCAAGTTCTTCTTCACCCACAAGTGCAAATCTAGTTCCTCAGGGTGACTGCTGAAAGAACACATTCTGACTTGGTAGCACAGAGTCAGCCCAGCATGCGTCAGTGGCTACAAAACTGGCTGGGCCTTTAAACGCAGCTGTGAATGCAGAATTGCCAACACACATAGAAAAAATGGTGCGTCTTTGGCCCCGATTTATCTGACATCTTTGTCGATGCTTTGGAATGAACTTGGAAATCAGCGCTGGTAAATGGCAGGTGATACCAAGTGGTGGAGCAGCAGCTGAGGACAAAGGACAGTCCTGCAGAGTAAGCAAACACTCTCCAATAGGATATGTTTGCGCACTACCAGATACAAGGGCATACACCCAACAACCGCAGGCTTCTGCTGCAAGGTAAGTGACTGCACCCTGGAAAGCAGCAGCTCTGGATGTGCACAGACTTAGGGGTCACGATGGAACAAGAGTACCTCTTGTAGTGCTACAACATGCAGAGGGGATGCTTGGACATACAGACAGGAGCATAATGAACAGGAGTAAGAAGGAGAGAACTTCTCTCCATATGGTAATAGAAGCTTGTATCTCATACCGCTGTCCCCATTTTAAAAAGAGGTGGAACCAAGTGGAAGAAGGACACAGAAAAGGCCAAAAAATTATCTGAGAGCTGGAAAAATACTTTATGTAAAAGCAGGAGACATGGGAAGCCTGATCTGTTCAACTAGTCAGAAGCTTGATTTGATGATGTATTAGCAATTTCCTGGGGAACAAATGCCAGCTAGAAAAGGTTCTTTACTCTAGCACAGGAAGGCAGAGCAGAAGCCAATGACCTAAAATGAAAGCCAGAGACATTTCATTTGAGAGACCGAGTTTTTTAAACCGCAAGACAGGAAGGCTGTTAACCACTCCCATAAACTACCTAAGCCTAAGGAGTGTGGTACATACTCCCAAAGCTACGTGTGGAAGCCTGCTGGGCTGATGCATACTTTAATCACCCACAAGGTAGTGGAAGAAGATTCAAGTACACAAGAGCAGGGAACAGATCAGTCTGGATGGGCACAAATACTCCTCCCCTTGCATCTGCCCTCTGCGACTGTCACAAACAGGCCTGCTTGCTACACACAGGCTGCTGTCTTGGGCCCCTCAGAAACAAAAACTCTTCTCACTGGGGTTATCCAGCATAAACTTTGCTAGGCCAGATGTCTGACTCCAGACTCCTGAACCAAGTCTTATTCTCCCAGCTCAGTTAAGGCGCATGCTCAAGAGGAGGGCAGAAAAAGCGCTTCAAGGACATCCTCAAAGCCAACTTGAAATAACGCAACATCGGTATCAACTCGTGGAAGACTGCTGCCCAGGACCGCCACAAATGGAAGAAGAGTCTGCTGCAAGGATCTTAGTACTTTTGAAACCTTATGACAACAACGGGAGACAGAAAAACAGAACGGCAGAAACAGCGTGTCACAGACTGAACCAAGAACCCAGAGCCACCCCGCCCGCACAGAAACATCGGCTTGAGTGGCAAGAGAGTCTGTCGATTCCAGATAGGCCTCACCAGCCATCTTCAGACCCACAGATGAGATGATCGTGAACAATCGTCCTTGACAGCGAAGGGTTGCCAATGATGATAAGGAGCAGGATTTCATGAAGACAAAGGGGAGGGGAGGGAAGGGGAAGCAGAAAGATGAGCGATGCCTTTGATCACCTGGTTCCTGGTGAACAAAGGATTAACTCCGGGTAAACTGCTTTTCTCTTTTGTTTGAAAATAGATAAAGCAAGTCTTTCAATACTTAGGAACCTGATGAAGAAGAGGACCCAGCCACATCCCAACAGCACCAGATCCCCTGGGGCAGATGAACACTCAAGGAGCTATTACCCAACCCATGGGGAGAGAGGTGGAGAGGGAAGAGCACGGAGGGTGCAGCTGGAGAAGCAAGTGAACCAGGCTGCCCTGGTGTCCCAAAGGTCCTAGGGGACATGCAGCTAAGGAGGAACTGATGGCCCCTCACTCAGCATTGGTGAGGTCACAGCTGGAGTACTGCAGCCAATTCTGGGCGCTGCACTTCAACAATGACATGAAAAAGCTTACAGAGTCCAGAGAAGAGCCACCCATATAATCAGAGACTTGCAAGGCAAGCCATACGAGGAAAGGCTGAGAGACTCGGGCCTCTTTAGCTTAAAAAGAGAAGACAGAGGGGACTTGGTAGCAGCTTACCTCTACATCAGGGGAGTACATCAAGGGCTTGGTGAACAACTGTTCACCAGGGCACTCTTGGAGAAAACAGAGTAATGGCCACAAACTCCTAGAAGTCTGTTTCAGGCTTAACACCAGGAAAAACTTCTTCAGTCAGGGTGTCCAGACTGTGGAATAAGCTCCCTCCAGAGGTGGTGCAATCGCCTGCCCTGGAAATCTTCAAGAGGAGACTGGACGGTCACCTCGCTGGGGTCACCTGACCACAGTTGTCTTTCCTGCCTAGTGGAGGGGGGCTGGACCCAATGATTTTGCAAGGTCCCTTCCAGCCCCTGACACTCTAGGAATCTATAAGGGACAAGCAGACTGGACAGCTGAGAAGCAAGGAGCCAGGGAGGGACGGACCAGACTGCATGGGACCAAGAAAAGAGTTAAAGCAGCCGGCACAGAGCTGGGGTGAAGTGGTGAGGAGGAGGATAGGCAGGAGTTGTAGAACAGCAAAGACGTGGGGACTCCAGGCCCAGGGGGCTGGTCCGGAGGCAGGATGCAGTTAAGAACATGAGCTCTACAGGGGAGCGAGGAAGGGATAGTCTGGACCAGACACTGGTGGTGGCAGAGAGCAGGAGGACACAGATTGAGCAGGGAAAGGGAGGGGAAAGCAATCTGAAACTCACAGAATCCCAGGGCAGCGGGGCTGGAAGGTACCTCCAGAGGTCACATCTAGTCCAACCCCTGTCTGAGACAGGATCAGCCCTCTCCAAACCATCCCACACAAATCCATAATCTGAACTACTGTCAACCCTGACACAACAGAGACATGGCATCCTAACCTGCCACAGGTAAAGCAGAGGAACCATGGCAGCCACTATTGGGATTCATCTTAGAGGAAAAGGAAGGGAGCTGGGTTGTAAGAAGAAAGCAGTGGGCTGGCTGAGTCAGTGGCCCTACTGTGCACACTGCCATGTGCAGCTGCTATCGCGGACAGCCACATCTGCACATCAGCTGAACTCTGCCCAAAGGAGAAGCCATGACTGCAAAATGGCAAAGGACAAAGTCAGAGGAAATGACCAAACCACAGGAATTCTGAACGCCTTGGGGAGAAGCAGCGCTACGCAAGCAGCACAACGCACAGCACCCTGGTCACAAAACAATCCTCTGACCAGAGGATGGGCCGACAGAATTAGCTCCTGCATGTCTGAACAGGGGCTATCAAGTTAGGAGCAAGGAGGCAGCATTACCCCTATACGTGGCACAAACAAGGCCATTACTAGATACTGCATCTAAATTGATGCCCACACTCAGAGGAGAGCTAAAAAAAGGATGAGGCCCAATTTTCAGAGAGGAGATTCAGTTTACTGACAGATGTGCGACAACTTGATCATACTCTCGGTACATACGTAGGGAGGAGATAACTGATGCATTCAGAACTTTAGTCAAGCAGGACCAAATGCCTGAAAGTCACAGTTAGGCAAACTATCTGACAATGAAACTCACCTTTGGAACAACAGTTCACCTTTCGAATAGATGAACAATGGCTGCAGTAGATCTTCATTGCCCCAAGTCTTCAGGCCAGGTTAGAGAGATCTTTTTAAAACATCCCATTTAGTTCAATCAGAAATACTGGGCTTGATTTTGGAATGCAGGCACCCAGGCTGGATGGTCAGAGCAATCTATTTGAGCCTCCAAATCTCAGAATTGTTCTCTTTAGCAATGTAACAAAAAAATCCCGAACTCTGAAATTCTCACCAGGTCAGAGAGTGAGATTATCTATCCATGCAATAGATACCACACAGGAAGTAGCCCGGCAAGCTGTCCCAGTCCACTGGCTGTCTTCCCCACCCAGGTGCTTTAGCTTGGAGTTGAAGAAAGAACTTAGTTCTGGATCTTATTTCTTTCTGCTCTTTCTGGCAATTCGTACCTGGTCAACAGTGATTTTTATCCACAGAGATTTAGACTGAGTGCCATCTAATCAGCTCACAGGCTCCAAACAGCTAATAATGATCCTGTAGTTGTACAAATTTTAACTTAGTTATCTCTGATCACCAACAGATCCTCCAACAGGGATTTCATAGTGTGCATCTCACTGCAATACAACAGGCCTCATGATTGGTTTCCTCACCATGTCACACCTGGACATAAGCAAGAACACACTTCCAACCCATCAACACCTAAATGTTGTATTCTTCAAAGACCAGATTTTCATGCTGCCCCCCTTAAAGAAAAAACAAGTCAAATCCACATGTATTAGCAGCTTCAGATAGGATCACAGCACTCAAGATGTGTCAAGATAGTCTATTGGCTGTCATGAAAAACTGCTCACCTGAGAGATTTGGGCAGATTCTCCTGTGAAATGCTTGCCACTAGTTTTTTGAACGCATGGAAAATTTCCACCTTGCAGATGCGGGACCTGATGGGAGAGAAGAAGCCATGAATGCTAATTGACACCCTGAAAGCAAATAAAACAACAGCTGTGCTGTGAAGGCCTATACCTACACCTCCTAATTTGCTCCTACCCACAATTACAGAACTTTGCCAGGAAGGTTCTTAAAAAGACCAGTGTTCCTCCCCCTCCAAACTTTGTATTTAAGAGAATTTAAAAGAATAACACAAGCAAACAACTTAGTGAAATGCACTTTTTAAAAAAAAAAAATCAATATTCCTGTGTAACAACAGTATTTTGCATCTGAGGTTGATGTGTTAAGTAATTTCCTTCTGCATTCTGCTCCTTAGCAAAGAAAAATCGGCACAGTTTACATTTTGGGGTATTGGATGGGGAGCTTGTTTTGCCATTTTGTGTGATTACCTTATTCTGCTTTTTATAAGTGACTTCCTTTATAAACTTCCCAGAGATTTTTGGTGGGGGCAGGAGGGGAAGGGCACCATATAAATCTAACAAACAGACAGGTTTATGCACTTCAAAATTCAGACACTTGCCCTAAGTTCTGGGGGAGTTTACAAAGTTTCTTCCTTGTCAAATTACCAAAGAATGGTAAGTGTATTCATATTTAGAGGGGCAAAGCAGATTTAGGTTAGATCGCAGGGAAAACTTTTTAACTGTGAGAACAGCAAAACAACAGAAAGTCTGCCTACAGAAGGTACGGCATTTCCTATGCTGAAGGTTTCTAAGAGGAGGCTGGAGAGACATCCTGTGCAGAGGGTTGGACTAGATGACCTCTGACATCCCTGCACACCTCTAAAAAGACAGAGATAAAATAGAATTGCCATGAGTTGTTCTGCTGGGTTTCTGAGAGAACGTTGATATTTTACTGATATCTGATTACGGGTTTACATTTTCAAACTACGTGCGCGCTGGAGAAACGAAAGGAGAGAGCAGCATAAAGGCTGGGTTGTGAAAAATGTGAAGACGTAAGAATTCATAAAGTCACCCTCAGGCACATACCGAGACTAACCACAGCCTTAGAAAAGTACAAACTGGGTACACAATTTGTTTCACGGTTTATTTCACAGTATCAGCATAACTTTACTGGAATTTCCTTGTAAAGCTTCTAGGTGTGTTATGCAGAGGCATGAGAGTCAACAAGGGTACCCTCACCTTTACAAGTCACTTATTAACACACAAAGTCATATAAAATTATGGTTATAAAGGACTTTAGGAGCTCTAGTCTAACCCCCTGCTCAAAGCAGTACAGTCCAGCTCTACCCTGTTTGGAACCACCCTGCACAGAGTTAAAGGTTCCTTGCAAATCCCCCCCTGAGTCTTCTCTTTTGCAGGCTAAATATGCCCAGTTCCCTCAGCCTCTCCTCGAGTCCTGCCCCTCAGCCCCCAAACCATGTTCACTGCCCTCTGCTGGACTCTCTCCAACGTGTTCACATCCTTTCTGCAGTGGGGGCCCACAACTGGACACAGGACTCCAGATGCAGCCTCACTAGTGCCAAATAAAGGGGAAGAATCACTTCCCTCCATCTGCTGGCAATGCTGCTACTAAAGCAGCCTAGGATGCATTAGCCTTCTTTGTAACAAGGGAACATTGCTGGCTCCTGTTCAGCTTATTATCCATATACCAGCTAAACATTCCTGACAAAGGCCCTTTTTTCGTCACTTGAAGGATGGAAAGGGATCTTTAACAATTTAGCCTGTCCTGTTCCAACAGAGCTACCTGCCCTCCCTCCTTTTCCCTTCTTTAAGTGACACACTGATAAAGACTTGCACTGTTTGAGGGGCAAGCTGAGGGGACATCCTCACCAGCACTAGGACAGCCTGCAGATAGAACTTTTCAATGCCCCAGTGCCTGTATGAGGACAGTGCCCCTGCAAGTTTAGTTACAGCAGAAGCTCAGCTGCAGGCATTGGTCCCAGTACTGAACATCAAACAAGGCAATAACCCGCAAGAGCATGGCAGAGCTCCAGAACCCTGTACTATCTGACACTAACACTGCCACAAAAAGAGGGAAAAACAGGAATAATCATCCCTCCCTGGCTCACAGGGAAGCCAACAGGATGCGCTCAGTAATGGCCATGGTGCTGCGGTAAAGAAAGGCTCATCAGTGGATAAGGACTGTGTCCAGCTGGAAAAGGTCTTGCAGATGTCCGTGGCACCTCTGAAGCTGTCATGTTTGGGGCAGGAGGGCTCAGAGTCACGCAGCCAGGACACCTGTTTTTAAGACACTTTACTGTGAAGGTTGCCTATTTTTATCCTATAATAACCTACTGACATGGTTTCTGTATGCATGCTACTTGAATGTAGTCATAGCAGCTTAAGCAGGTTCATTTCCATCTACGGTTTATCCACTTAAGACACTTTTATAGCCCTCATTATTGTAGTGCCTGTGCTCAAGTTGCATGGCTCTGCATTAACACGTAGCCTTGCTTCTTTTAAGTTAGCACACAGACACAAGGACACACACACAAACGTTGCTCTGAGTAACAGAGGTGCCAACTCAGGGATTTCTGGATGCTCACAATCTCTGACAGTATCTACCACATGTTCTTTATTTGTGTCTTTTCTGAACTGATCCAGTAATTCCAAATGCCTGCAACATTTTTGCAACCATTTATACATACTCATGCACCACCTCCCCACAGGGCATCAACACAAGCAATTTCAGAGAGATCAGAGTGTTGTCCTCCTAGCTGTGATGGTCTAGGACAGCATTTCTCAGCCTGTGGGTCATGGCCCAAAAGTGGGTCACAAGAACATATGAAAGGGTCGCAGACAAACTGTAAAATGGATTCTCTTTTAAAGGAGAATAATGTGGGAAACTATGGCTTTTCCCCTACCAAGCTGTCAGTTCCAGTCTGCATGGAGCTGCTTGGGGCCCCCAGGCCCGACACCGCCCACCCTGCCCCACATACCCACCCCCTGCCCCACACACTGAGGCTGGGGGCAGCGGGTCGTGAGCGAGGGGCACTGGGTCGGGGCGGGCCATTGATGTTTACAAATGCGTCCTGGTACAAAGAAGGTTGAGAACCCCTGGACTAGGAAATACATAAAAAGGCAAGGATTTTTTTTTCCTTTTTTGCCTCCTTTTCATCACCTAATGGAGAGGTCAGGTCTCTGGAAGGTCTTATAGTTTCATACTTGGTCAGGTTGAAAGGGACCTGAGCAGATCATCAAGTCCAACCCCCTGCCATGGCAGGAAAGGATGCTGGGGTCAAATGACCCCGGCTCGGTGATTAGCCTGCTTTTGAAGACCCCCAGGGTAGGAGCCAACACCACTTCCTTTGGAAGTTGGTTCCAGATCCTAGCCGCCCTGACAGTGAAGTAGCACCTCCTCATATCTAGCCTGAATCTACTCTCAGTCAACTGATGGCCATTATTCCTTGTTACTCCCAGTAGTGTTCAGGGGAACAGGGACTTTCCCATTGCCTGGTCTCCCTTGGCCAGTTTATAGACAGCCACCAGGTCCCCTCTCAGCCTTCTCTTGTGGAGGCTGAACAGGTTCAGGTCTCGTAGCCTCTCCTCGTAGGGTCTGCTGTGGACCCTGGATTGTGCGAGTGGCCCTCCTCTGGACCCTCTCCATGCTGTCCACATCCCTCCTGAAGTGCAGCGCCCAGAACTGGATGCAGTACTCCAGCTGCGGCCTGACCAGTGTCGCATAGAGGGGGAGGATCACCTCCTTGGACCTGCTCGTGATGCATCTGTGGATGCGTGACAAGGTACGGTTGGCCTTTCTGACCGCATCCCCACATTGGCAGCCCATATTTATCTTGGAGTCTATAACGACTCCAAGATCCTTTTCTGCCTCTGTGCTGACGAGAAGGGAGGTCCCCAGCCTGTAGGTGTGCTGCTGGTTCTTCCTCCCTAGGTGCAGCACCTTGCACTTGTCAGTGTTGAATCCCATTCTGTTCTCATCCGCCCACCCCTGTAACCTGTCCACATCTAGTTGCAGCCTGTCCCTCTCTTCTAGCGTGCCCACTTCTCCCCACATCTTGGTGTCATCCGCGAATTTTAATAAGGTGCTTTTCACCCCCTCGTCCAAGTCGCTGATGAAGATGTTGAACAGTGCGGGCCCAAGGACCGAGCCCTGGGGGACTCCACTGACCACATCCCTCCAGGTTGAAAAAGACCCGTCCACCACCACTCTCTGGGTGCGGCCCTCCAGCCAATTGGCGACCCATCTGACTGTGTAGGTGTCGACACCACAGTCTCCTAATTTTTTAACGAGAATGGGGTGAGAGACAGTGTCGAAGGCCTTCCTAAAGTCCAGGAAGACTATGTCCACCACGACACCTGCATCCAAGGATTTTGTGACCTGGTCATAGAAAGCACCAGGTTGGTCTGACAGGACCTGCCTCTAATGAACCCATGTTGGTTGCCTCTGAGTATACACTCCCTTGCTTGCCCCTCGCAGATGCGCTCCTGGATAATTTTCTCAAAGAGCTTCCCCAGGACCAAGGTAAGACTAACAGGCCTATAATTTCCTGGGATCTCCTTCCTCCCTTTTTTGAAAATGGGAACCATATTGGGACCACACGTCTTGATGCCTGAAGCTCACCTAACATCTCTCTCAGCTAGACAGTTGGTCCAATAGAAGATACCACAAAAATACTTGCCTCTAAATGATTTCAGAAGCATTCCACTGACAGAGCCAGTATTTACCTTACACGTACCAGTGTCATAAGAACCTACACTTTAAACACCCAAGTACAGTAACACAAACCACTCTCTCATTACTCTGAGGAATTACTGAATGGGAGACAACTATTTGAAGAATCTGAAGATGTGCAAACTTTCCACCACATCAGAAACACCCATAAGAAAATCCTGACAAAGTACAAGATTCACCACAGGCAAGGGGGGCTCTGGTAATATTGCTTATTAGAAAAAACTGTCTAGGTGTTAGAGCTGTTCGACAAGCTTTAAGGCACAAAGCGCCCACCTACTTCTGTGGGTCCAAAAGCTCATCTGGTATCTCCCCCAACTACACAACCGGTCCAATAGAAGATATCACCAAAAGAACCCCTTGCTCTCATATATTTCTGGATCATTGTGGCTACAAATGCCCCAAACCTACCACATTTCACCACAAGAGCCACTCCCTACCACGAGCCCCAAATCCTGCAATCTGCATATCTACAGGTTAGTCCCCGTTTTGTTGGGGGCCATCTGCAAAGAAAGAGGGATTCCAACCCACAGGACTCTGATAAACCAGGATGCCATACAATGTAATTTTTCAATAGTATTTTAAAACAGCTTTTAAACAGTATTTTTTCCCAACAATTTTTTAACCTCAGAAGTATCAAATCTTTCTTCCCTGTGCTGGCTAGAAGCCTCATTGGAGAACTCAGAAAAATGGAATGGGGAAATGTTTTCAGCCTTTAATTGAGGGCTTGGAGAGTGATCCTTCCACAAAGAAATCTTATTGTGTTTGCCATTTTAATTAAGTTAGGAATAACAAAGGCATGCAGAAAAGTCTACAAACAGACTTCATCTTAATTAATCAGGTTTCAGTTCCTGGCATCTGTACAGGATAAGAAAAAGCACCCTTTATTTGAAGAACAGATTGTTGATGTTGTGTCACAAGTGCAACGGGAAGAATGCTGGTAAGATTCAACCTCCTCCCTTGTGAAGACTCTACCTCAGCCGCTCACACACTCTCGTGCACTGTTATGTCCACCACCACTGGCAGTGCCCACAGCTCACACTTCTTGCAGGGGAGTGGAAGGTGTGGGGGAATGGGGGCTGCAGATATGCACGGATGACAGACACCCAGAAGGATGTATGGATCCTGGGCTAGTAGTACCACACCTGCTCTGGGGACTGCCAATCCCCTTCTTCGTTGTTCCCTGCCTGAAGCCATTGGCGGTCACATCCAGAGGCTGCTCAGGGACTGCACTCCAACCGATAGCTGTGGGAAAAGAAAAGATTACAAACAAGTAGACACACATGGCCAGGACTCTCAACACTGAGAAATAAGACGACTTTGTGTCCCACTTCCCAGATAAACTCCAGTAAACAAGAAAGATTACAGTGCTGCCCTGATGTCTATTTATTTCTACTGTTATCCACTCCAGAAAGAAACTTGGAAAATGGTGAGGTGCACAACTCAGAGATGGTGCAGATCAAACTTGAGTATTTGCACTGAGAGTCAGCTATCAGCAATGACCTCGGAATGCCACCTAGGCACAAAATAACCGCAGTCTTTTTATTCCAGTCACTTGTTAGGGTCCCCATACAAAGTTAAAAACAGAAACCAGAGGTGGAAGAGACTAAACAGGTCCACCTAGGACCAGGCTGTCAGAAAGGTTTAACTTTGCACATATGCAAAGAGATGCTTCTGAAAACCCCATTAAGTACAGGTGCTTAAACAGCTGTGAACAGCTGGTCCTTGGGCTCCTCTATCACCCAGCTTGGGTTACCTCCAGGATATTTGCTTTCATACTTTCAAAGGACTGATTTTACAGTTCCCAGAAAAGGGGCCTCCTCCTCTCTGTTATGAAAGATTCCCCAAAAGAAAAAACACCTCCTGGTCACAAGCTGTTCCTACTGCAATAGAACCTGGAAGCACTGCAGGGCTTGGCTCCTGGCTCTCCAGCAAAGACAAGGGTTTGCAGGATACCTGGAGGTATGCAGCGCCACAGTAATCAGTGCACAGAACCACTGTGGTGCTCCAGCTGTCTGCTATGGCTTTTACATCAAATGGTTTTGCTTCTCTGATCAGCTGCACAGGACTACTGGTGATCTCCAGGCGACTGGCAAACAGCACCCTTTGGAGTATGAGATGCAGCAAGAGCAGAGAAGCTTGTCCTGAATTCAGCAGCCCACTACAAATTAAGTTACCTCCATATAAAAACTCCTGGGCCTATTATAGTCATTCCATATTCTCCCTATTACTTCCCTTCGTACCATCTTCACTAACTCCTCTCCCTGCATAGTTTTCACGTATCTGGGAGACAAACCCTTAAAATTATATTAGCTACACCCACACAGGCACCTCTAGACTACTGAAAAGGAGGGTGGGGTGCACATAATGTGGTGCATCATCACATATAAAACACCACACAGTTTTCTCCAGAAGCTCTACTCACACATCAGGAGCCTAGAGCTGTATTATTCAGTTTAAGATTAAAGCAAAACCAAACATCACTTCACTAGGATGAGTTAAAAACAGTCTGCAGGGCTGTGTAATAGGAGCTACATTACCAGAAGCAGCTAGCAGACAGCCGAACTGCAGAACAAAGGATAGCTTGACTGGTGGAACATCGAGATTATTAAAAAGAGAGGGTCCGTAACATCCTTGGAATGAAGTGTTCAGAAGGGACAGTGAATTCAATTAACTCCCTCACCACTGCCCAATTAGGAATGCAGGCAGATGGTTTTACATGTTGGGTGAATCAAAGAGGAGGGTACATCTCTCTCTCTCTCTCTCTTTGAGCGCACACCCACACCTGTGCAAGCACACCCCTATATTTTCACACTTTATTCCATTTTTCTCTCTCTCTGCTGCTACTTGCCTTCAATTTAAAGCTCTCTGGTGCAAGGACTGTGTACTCCTATATGGATTGAAAGTGCCTACCACAGTGTTAGGGATGTAATAAAAACAAAAACAACTTAAACAGTGCATCCATTTGGTCTTTGCACAGTTTATCTGCGACTCCTATCTCTTCTAAAAATCTGTCTGGTCTCATGATGATTACTTTTGTTCTTCTCCAAATGTCCTCATGCTTTTCTCTCTATTCTTGGCAATGTGGTACAGTTGCATCAAGCAGCAGAACAGGAGGAAAGTCTCCCTGCTCATGACTGCCATGGTTCTTAGCTGGTCTCTCACTGCAAAGACAAGTTTGAGCTGCACCACACCTCTAAGCTTCTCCCCCTCACTATTTTTCAGGTTTCTCTTTGAGTGGATAAAAATGGGATTTAAACCTTAAACTGAATGTATTTTTCTTTCTAAATATAGACAATGTAAATTCAATCTGAGATTATGATGAACACCTACCATCAAGGTTTCAATTAACTATATTCTAATTAGGTCATTTCATTTAAAAATGAGTACATATTTTAAGTCAAGTTTTAAAGAAAATAAAACTACAGAACTGGTAGGGGAATAGTCTCTTCATTTCAGTTTACTCAGCTAGTTCAGGGGTGCTCAAACCCTGGTCTGCAGAGCCACCTCATCTGGCCCATGGGAATCCCCACAGGTCTGGAAGTTCGGCAGAGACAGAGTCACGGCAGCACTTGCTACTCCCCTGCGGTCAAATTTCCAAACCCATGGGGAGCCCCATGGGCTGGAAAATGCAGCCCTGGACTCTATTTTGGGTGCGCAGAGCCTGACAGAGGCAGCACAGGGTCCAGATTTGATAAGCTGGAACGGGTAAAGGTGGCACAGGTCTGACCAGGGTACACAGGTTCCAATCCAGGTGCATAAGTAAGGGGACACAGTGTGGGGTTCAATCATGGCAAGACAGCACAGGGCCGATCCGGGTCACAGACCAGCCCTGCACCCTTCATCTCGACTGCAGGACCAAAAGGTAAAGCACCACTGCTCTAGTCCAATGCAATGACTGATTCATTCAAACCAACTGGGAACTGAAAAAACAAGAAAGCCTGTTTTCCTTTCCTGCCACGGCAGGGGGTCAGACTAGATGATCTCCTCAGGTCCCTTCTGACCCGACCAACTATGAAACTTTCCCATGCAAAAGAAAAAAAAAGGAATTAGATGGTGATATTGACACCTACTAATACTAAACTCCTGAGAACATGGTGACGTCAAATGTTTGGACTGAACCAATCTCTGATCATTCTTTTTTACATATCCAGCAAACTTAAAGATATTTTTCAGTAATAAAAATCCTTAAAATGCTGCTTTCTGCTTTTAATTTAATTTCAATTCCCATTCAAACGGTACTTTAAATATATCACGCAAAGAAATTCATCTAGGTAATAATAACTGCATCATCATCTAACAAAATGTAAAAATTAAGAATCTGAATAAATGTATGTCAAGCTACAGGATTTCTTAAATAACTATATATACATAGTACATCCTCCTATTGGCTAAATGTAGTACCAATTTACATGTAAAGATGATACTTAGTTGAAACTGAATGTGTTTCTAGAACTACAAACAAATGAGAATCACGTTCTCTTTCAATAATAAGTACAAAAAAAAAAATTATATATATATATATATATATATATGAAACAAAAATTAAAATAAGTTATTACATAAATGTCTCCTGCTGCTGTTTTAAATTACTGGATTTGATACGAGTCTTGAAATACCCGAGCAGTAATTATATGGGGGATGCGATAGATTATTCTCTCTGACCCCAAGGGACGGGACAAGAAGCAACAGTCTTAAATTTCAACAAAGGAAATTTAAATCAGAGATTAGGAAAAACTCTCTCATTGAGAGTGGTTAAGCACTGGAATGGGATACCCAGAGAAGTTGTGAAATCTCCATTTTTTAATGTTTTTAAGAATAAGCTAGATGCACATCTGACTGGGATAGTTTAGACAAGGATAATCCTCCTAAAGTCCATGCCAACCCTACTGTTCTATGATTCTATAAAACCTATTATTTTAAATATCTGTGATTTAAACCGAACCACCTTGTTTCTCTCCCCCACTGAGCATCTGTTTCAGATTTTTTCCCCCAACTGAACTGACTCAATTCCTTCCAGACAGATTTTATTTTGGTTTTGCTGCCTAAAATTTCTAATTTTCTCTCTCTACTTCAGGCATTCTGAGTGCTCATCACGATAGTGCCTAAATATTTGCCTCCCCAACATTTCATCTAATTTAGTAACGTCAGTGATTTTCGTGACCATGCTATTCCCCGATTCCTCTCCATCAATGAAACTGTTAAATCAAACCAGTCCTAACACATATTTAAGACAACCAAGCGGCTAGAAGTAGCTGTTGTCATTGCCTTTTGTTTACAATCCTTCCTTTCATGTTAGCTTTCCTACACATACTCCATTAAACATTTGCAGTTTAAACGTTCCACATCAGTTTCAATTAAGCCACGGACGTGCACAGTAGCAGATGGCACATATGTGAAGCCATAGTTGGCGAGAAACTGCACAATATCACACACATGGTGGTGATTACCTTCTGGTACTTTGCAGAGCCACAAGGAATCAATTTAAAAAAAAAAACAAAAAACACATGATGATTGGCACAACTGACTCACTGCTACTGATGATCAATGCAGACATCCCAGACTCCTACCAATAAAACCTCTCTTCTGCACGACTTTGTACTCTCTCCGCATACAACAGAGCTCTGAGCAGACTGACAGCCTGGCCAACAGGACAACTCCTATGTTCATCATCAAAGAGAAAGGAACAAGAAGCTCTTTCAATGCAATTCTTGTCCTTCTACTGCCCTCAGATCACTGCGCTTTCCTTTATCTCTTCTCAAACTATAAATGCTTTAGAAATCAACCAAACTTGACACCAATACACATTCTGTGAACTGCCAAAAGGTGACTACAGGCACTGTATGAATAATTCACATTATAATGATTCACAACGAAGTTTTGGCACGAATGAGTCTCAGTACATTTCATTTGTGGCTGTGGTAGGGGCTAAGGTCAAGAAAGCCAGACAGAGTTAACATTTCCAGAAAGTGTAGCCAATCCAGGTACTTTCCTGTTTGGTCTTTGCACGTATTTAATGAGTCAAGTAACTCACCTGCACCACAAGGAACCAGTTTTGCTTTGCTGCTTTCATGAAGTGCCTGGACTGCCCCATGGCTATGTTCAAACTGAAGATCTGATGGCAACATTTTCACCTCCTGTACCTGGAAACCCTCTGGTAAATGTGAGACGTGCTGACACCTGCAGTAAGCATGTAAGAATGCAAGCGACTTGGTCTGATCGCAGGCAGCTCTCAGGGGAGAGCCCTGCAACCTCCATTTAATTAAATAAATAAAGGCAACAAACTTAGAACAGATACAAGGCTATATTTTTTTCAAGCAACATGACTTTAGTCTGTAAAATTCAGTGCCAGAGTGCACTGGCACAAGAGTGACTTTAAAACTGATCTAGTTGTAAAATGGTGCACATCCCTAACTTTAGCATATAAAATACGTCAACCTTGTTGATCAACAATGAAGTTTAAGTCAGTAACAGGTAGCTTGCACCTCTAAATGACCAACACCAGTTAAATCTATACAGACAAGACTTGAAGCTGCTTAGGCATGTCTATGTTAGACCCTGTTTGCACTCATCAGCTACCCCTGGTAACAGTGCCTGCAGCACCATCCACCGGCAGCGCAAGTTCCCCACTATCTAATCCCGCTCCTCACTAGTTTGTATTATTACACAGCCCTGAGCAGAGCCTGGGAGAGTGTAATGGAATTCAGAGAAAGGTTTATGTTCACAGTATCTGATGAAGTTACAGCTGTTCACCAGAGCTCCCCAAGGGATAGATAACAAGGTCTAACAGCCACAAACTCCAGGAAGGCCAATGTAGACTAGACATAAGGAAAAAGTTCTTTACGGTGCTAGGGTCCAGGATCTGAAACAGACTCCCCCTCGAGGTGGTGCCAGCACCTGCTCTGGACTCTTTCAAAAAACTTCTGGATATTTTTCTTGCTGGGAGTCACTTGATCCCACCTGACTTCCTGCCTGTGGCAGGGGGGCTGGGCTCGATGATCTCGCAAGGTCCCTTCCAGCCCCTAATGTCTATGAAATCTATAAAGTGGGCTGCTGCTTATGACAATTTATGCATCTGATTGAGTTAGTCTATAAAGGGCAAATCTCTCCTGCTTCTGCTGTTCTTGTTTTTATCACATATCTACTGTTGTGAGGTGCATGAAAAGAGACGGAAGATCTCCACTCAAATTCTTCCCTCAGCCACTGATCATTGCAGAAGGGGACTGTCACTGACTGTCCCACGTGCACTGTAGCAGATGTTGTGCATGCACATCCAAGGCTGTGAAGAAAAATTGCAGTCTGTTTGGACAATGAAAAATCAATGCTTGCGCTGAAATGATACATAAAGTATTTTGTATGAATATTTGTAATGGTTTAAAAAGAATCTTGTTTAGGTCAAACATATGAGTTAGGGCTTATCTACACTTCCCCAGGAAGCCTTAATTCTGTACCTTCAAGCAACTACTTTATGCCCTGAACAAGGAAGGCATTATAAAAAAAGACAGCATGTAATCCCATAAGTAAATACTCAATGCTTAAACACAAAAGTTGGTGTAGGCAACTATACACTTGGCACACCTGACTTCCAACAGTTTGCTTTGCAACCTGAAAGGAGAGAGGGTGAGCTCCCATTCTGCAGGGGGGGGCCGGGCAGAGTAAGGAGGGGTCCAGGGGTGTTGGGATTAACAGGGATTTGCACAAATTTATTCTCTGCTGCCTGCACTGCAGCTGCTAATGGTGAACCTGGCAAATTCATTCTGAAAGGCAGCAGTGCCTTGGAGATGATGTGGATTTGCCATCATAGAGAACGGCTCCTCTCCCAGTGTTACCTAGTGTGACTTCAGTTACTTCACACTTAAAACAACAATATGGAGAAATGATGTATTTTTGTAAAAGGACTTCCCAGAACTGAAGGGGTTCATTTCTTCTCTGGGACCGGGGAATCAGAAATGGCTGGGTTGGTATAACGAATTATCAAGAGCTGTAAGCACATGAATGGAGCTACCCTGGAGATACAATGGAGGGTCATCCTCCAGACATTAATGTTAATGACCCACAGCTAGAGAATGAAGCCAAAACTTAAGGTGTCAAGGACTGGAACAGAAGCCCTACTGGGGGGAGCTGGAATGCGGGCAGCCAGGTCCTACTCCCTGCCAAGACACCAGCACGAGCCTTGCTTTTCCATTCCGAAATGAAGGACCCAAAAATATAGCATTCCACTTTACTACAAGCTGTCTTGTTTTTCTGCCAACACTGGGGAGCCAGAGCTGGGGTCAGAGCCTTCAAAAATAGGGAGGTCAGGTTCTTTTGGACTGGCTGAAGGAGCCATAGTGAGGAACAGCAGCTATAAGGTCAGAGCCAGCTGCAGAGCAGCGGAGTCCAGGGCTCCCTCCTGCCAAAAGCAGAAGCCTGGCCTTGTTCTTAGCGGTTGACTTCCCAAGAGACCGTGTGGTGGTCAGGGGCAAGCTTGGGCTGCAGATCCATTAAAGTGCAGAATGACACTTGCTTACACTCCAAGGTGGAGACACAGGACCTTGTTCTGTTGCCTGGTGGTTTTATAGAACTAATACCATTATATGTATGATATGATGTAAGAACTCATGGCTATCTATCCAGCTCCACACTTCACTATTATTGTTGCAGGGAGTGCTAACATACAGTATCTTTATGTAAGCCACCATAGCATTAATTGTCATTATCTTAAAAATTCCTAAAAATGATAGTTTCATAGTTGGTAGGGTCGGAAGGGACCTAAGCAGATCATCAAGTCCGACCCCCTGCCATGGGCAGGAAAGGATGCTGGGG